CCCCCCGCCCCTGCCTGGGCCCCTCACCGCGCCCCCCCGGGGGGGGGGGCGCCCCACTGTTTGAGAAGTACTGATCTAAAGTGTCAAAAAGTTGAAGCTTGCCTGCCCACGGTGAAGCAATACAACATCAAAGTGAACTTCTACATGCTAACTGCTAACTTTGACTGTGTTTTAAATTAAAAAAAGACTCGAAAGGCTAAACATTTAAACTTTTTAGAAAAATAAAATTAAAAAAATATATATTAAAAAAAAAGTGCACCACCTATGACCAGGAAGTGAACGTAACCCGACCCTGGCCCTTTGTTTGCCTCAATTTGCATGCACAACAATCAACAGGACACATAAAAGGAGCAGGCAGGCACAATGCAAACATGCCAAAAAACCACAGAGGCAAAGCAGGAGGACACAGAAGTTGGTCAGCAGCAGCAGCAGCAGCAGCTTCCACCGCTGAATGCATCACGTTCCAAACACAAAGGCCGCACACTGAACACAAGGCTTTTCTCTCCTCTTCATCTCTCATTATCAAACAGTCAAAGGAGAACTGCAGATTCAGATTCTTGCGTCTTGCTCTCAGCTGCTGCCGAAAAACCACGCGGTCGGCTTAGTTTTTTTTTTTTTTTTGACTTTAATAAGAGCAAATGAGCAGCGCGGCCATGTTTCATCAAAGACCAGGGGAAACATCCATGACTGGGCTGGCCCCGCGGTTTTCAACAGAAGAACAGATGTTATCTGCTCCACTCTGATAAGTCTGCTGATGACAGCAGACGTTATTACATGTCCTCTATATTATCTGAGTCCTTCTCTCTTTATAGGCAGTGTTAAAGGATGGGGGAAAATGCGTCTGGAATGCTGGAGAACTCAATAAATGCTGGAGTCTTTAGACCGGGTGGTGTCAAACATACAGCCCGCGGGGCCAAAACCGGCGCGCTAGGGTGTTCATTTGGGGCCCGCTTGATGAATTTGAAAGTGAATTCATGATGTGTTTGTCAAAATACATTTAATTAAAATATGAATATTATCTAATATACTTGTAGGAAAAAGATGGGAATAAACATGGAATTTTTTTTTTTTTTTTAAGGTAATTATGTTATGATTGTACTGGTCCGGTCCACTTCACAGCTACTGTAGTAGCTACTAGCAACTCAGGGGCCGTATGTGGCTGAACCTGAACCGAAATGAGTTTGACACCTGCGTTTTAGACGTTAGACCTTGATGGTTCTTAGAATTTGTTTATGCTGAGATCTAAGTAAAAAAAATCACATAAATTCAGCTTCAATTACCTGCTTACTTCTTTTGGTTTTTTAACATTTTTTGCTAACTTGAACATGTAACTTTTTTTGCATCTTCCTTTATGTTTTGCGGACATTTTTAGTTCAGGGGGACAAATCAAAACTGACCACTCGTCCAGATGACCAAACTATTCATCTTTCAACCTGCTGCCATTTTCAAACCCCACAAACAGTCAAAAGGGCAAGGGCTGCGGTTTTTTCATTTGAGCCAATAACACGTCCACTCATGACACTACATTCCCTGACCTCTCCGATGTTCTCCACCATCCCCCACTGACCAGCACCCCCCCTCACACA